AATGACTGAAAAAGAGTTTTAGGTGTCATTTGTATATCATTGAAAAACTGTACATGGAAATAAAGAACGGTCTGATATTGGACCATTGAACCTGGAAAAGTGTTATTAGATTGTGAATCTGACACTAAAACATTATACCAGAATACAAAGTACTCACCTGTTTTCTTTACAGTGACTGAAGGGAGCAGCAATGTTTGCTGATTTTCAAGCAAGTGTGAGATCAAGTGTACTGCTTTAGGGAAGCACAGATCTGGTATAGGTTATTCATGACAATAAATGTGCAGGGAAATATACTAACATACAATCAGAATCTAAAGGCCAATTTTCAAATTTGTTCTCTGCCCAGAAGCTCCCATTGTGACACTTCTAGTCAGACTAATTAAACAGTTAAGTAGATAAGGTGCTAAACTCTATTGAAAACTCAGTTACTGTTTTAATTTTTAATGAGAGGTGAGCTTCTGAAAATCTGGACCACGTAATGAGATTCTTCTGCTCCTGGAATCTATGTGTAATCCAAAACCAATAAAAGTCACTGAACTAAGTAATCTCTGGGTCAAGAACATTCACTTTTAATTTCTGGCTGGGTTGAGACTATTCTGAAACACATGACCATATGTACTTGTTAAAAACGAAGAAACAAAGCCAGAAAAAAGGGTCAGTACACTGGTCCATTGAAAAGGTTAATAGAGTGATGTGGTTTCCAGAGAAGAAAGTGGACACAAGCAATTTTGGAGGTTTGTTGGAAGTAGTATGTTTTGGTTTTACAGCATGGGTTCAGTAAGACAACTGCATTTCATGGAAACGTAGAACAATAAATGTATGATTATGAGAAACATGCTCAACTCATGCCCTTGTGGTTATTTCTTCTGTTGTGTTTCATTTCTCATATACAGTTCTCATGCAAAGCTGGTGACAAACAGCCACTTGTTTTTCTTGACTAATGTTTAATCCATAATGATGCAAAGAAGAAGCTACAGGTACTTGATACATTTTAATGACATCACAAATTGAGGTGACCTAGTGGCATACAGTATCCTGCCCTAAGAAACAATGCAGATCATTTCCAGCCACAGATACCATCCCAGACATTCACTACCTAGCACTCTGTGGTGTTTCATGGTTTCTAGGTTTTTAAGGTTGGAAAAAGGGACCTTTATTCTGACATTCTGCACAGACCCCAAAATTACTGGAGCAAAGGGAATGACTTCTACAGAAAGTACCTTAGAGATGTGTTTGGAATGACAGTTTCTCAGACCTTTTGTGAGGTCTTAGATTTTCTCTTTTATGGTACAAGGAATTATAGATTTGGCTACAAATTTACACTATCATAACGTGTAACTCATTAGCCTTTAGGGGAAATCTCTATGGCTGCTCTCAGTTAAATTTATTCAACCTAAGAACATTAATTGGGAGCCTAGTCTTGTTGCTCCCTTTTGAATATTTACTACTGCAGTCGTAGGACTGCAGTTATAGTAGCATGGTTCTTAAAAGACTTAATTGGTAATTATATGTTTGTTAGGTTGTGGTGGGTCACTATGACTTCTAGAAATGTTATCTCTGTGATTTAAGGGAAGAATTACACAAGTAACTCTGACGTATACAAAACAGAATTCTTATCCCAGGAGAGAAGTTTCTCGGTAGCAAGCATGGCTGCATCATGTGAAAATCCACATTTTGCAAATAATGAGTTTTGATAAGCCTGCTTTCCAAAGCTGAGATGAAGTATTTATACACATGAGAAAAGCAAATTCTTGGCATTAATTATCAATTATTAACTGTTTTAAAATCACAATTGTTCGACTTTACTTGTATTTTTTTTTGCTGCCCAGTCTCCTTTAAGAGGTTAAAATTTATACTCTTTGGCTGAAATTCCTTTGCCACAACCATGCCAAAATTCTGCTGATATCACACAAATATCTATTTAGATGACTTGCAAAGTGCCTGCAGTGCTAAATAATTCTTCTATTAGAGATAAAACCTTGCCACTTGAGAGCAAGATAAAGCACTTTCCAGCGAATTATTATTTTTTTTTTGGAACATAAACAAGAATTTTTTGGAACATGGACATGGATGAGCTTCCTGACTCCAAGATGAAAAACTTATCAGGGAATATTTACCACTACAAGGACCTTTGTTGGTAGAAACAGAGGAGAGCCCCCTGTGAAGCAAGAAGTCATGGTCCAAGAAACACCACTTTCTAGTACTTGAACTGAGTCTACTAAAGAGGAATTTGAAAAACACTCTCTCATACCACAGCTGAAAGGGGGGACTTAAAGGGGAAAAAATGGAAAGGTAACTCTTGACTTACATCTTTCTTCTGCTTTTAATTAAACTTCCATATATAAATGATTTGGGTTTTATCATGAGGAAAAGAAAGTTTCTCCTAAGCTGAAGCAACTTTTATCTATAAATCAAACCTTTCTTTCTAGTAAGTTTTTCAACTTGGTCGTTAAAGAAAATCTCAAGCCTAAGTTTAAAATTATTTAAATTAAGTTTTAGATTATTATTTCTGGTACTTCAAAGAGAAGTAACCAAACTTACCTAATTTTCAAATGTAAATGTATTTTGTAGAGTTTTTATCTTGTTGTTTGCTAATATGAAACCAAATTATATAAAACATACAGATTACTTCAGTGTAATGTTGACTGTAAATATGAGAAGCCATTCTACACAGACTAAATTTAATCAGAAGTGTGTTACCAATCTACTCCTGTATCTATTACTCTAAGTGTTTCTAGAGCAGGGAATGTGATTTCTCATAGACATTGGAGACTACTGCTTAATTATTCATCCTGAAATTTAATTTTAAACCTTGTAATCATTTAACTGTTTAAAATGGCATTTGTCGCTGAAACAAGCCAAGAAGAATTAGAGCATTATTTAACACTCACTCGTTTCAGTTTCAGTGTACTTGATAACTGGCTCATTTCATGCACAATCCCTGCAGGCCCCTGGAACACTCACCTATGATATTGATTATTTTGGTTCAGCTAGAGGATGTAAAGTACCATTTATGAATGGAAATGTTTTTTCCTGAGGTGCACCATCTCTATTTTGCCTACTTTATTATTTTATGTATAAAATGTCTCCTGAAGTGAGGAGAAGATAGATCTTGCTCCTTTGCCCCTAGCTCCAGCCTACCAGGGTAGCTTTGCAATAACCCTGGCCTGCATGATCTTGCTAAGACAAAACAAAAGGTCTGTGATTTGAAACACATTTCACAGTAAATGAAGAGAAACCTTCTTTGTATGCTATTGGATACACTTCAGATATTAGTACTTAGTATGTGCATCAAGTTATTTCTGTATGACAAATATTTCTGCTCCAGTATAGTTAGAGAAAGAGGAGCTAAAGCAGCATGTGTTGTCCCTGCGCTTGAAATACGCCAGTACTTGGTGTCAGCATAAACCAGGGGCAAACAGCTGTCCTCTAAAGCACCTGTCTTTTCTCCTACTGTAGACTGTAGCTCTTTTTACAGAGATCTGATGGGAAACACAAGAGGACAGGATTGGCAGATATTGTGATGCTGCTAGAGAAGTGCATTCAAACTATACTTCCAACAAGCCTTGCGTCTGAGTCTGACTGCAGCAGGTGAAGGCCTGTATCACTGTAGCTAGTCTGGTCATTGCCATTGCTGTTGTTGCTGTTGGGTTGGTGCAGTGCATCCCATGTAAGGGACAGTGAGCACAAAGCAGGCATTACTTTCTCCACAGTGTGTGGAGCATTAGTCCTTCAGAAGGCAATGACCCACTGGGAAGTACTCCAAGATGGGGCTTTCCACACATGCCCTGCCTGTGAGCAACCAAGGAAGCTGAACTGCCTTGGACCCATGAGCCTGGCATTGGGCACCCTTAGGTGTCCTACTCACCTTTTCAGCTCTCCAGCAAGCGCTTGTAAGACAGTCATTCCCCCACATGCCTGCCATGTTCACATGGCTGCATGGCCTTGCAAGCCCCTCAAAGCTTTGGCACTAGAGATTCTTTCTTGTACAGGGTTGTGAGAGGTAAGTCTGGAAAACAGGGAGCTCCTCAAAAGACATGAATCAAAGACATGAATCCTGTATTCTTCCTCTGGCTTTGCTTCAGAGCCCCTATGAGAGCCTTTCTTAGACATACATGTGCAAAAATATACTGAATAATCACTAGTTGTTCACAGACCCTTTCTCAGAGCATCTCAGAATATCCCAGGATGCTGGAGCAGCACAACATCATTGCAGTCTCTGTATCTGCCATAGTTAATCTTACTTCACAAATTAAAACTAACACAACCTTATCTGAAATTTTGTTCAAAGTTATCACTGTAAAAAAGTGGGAAATACACCATAAATTACAAAGAATCCTCATTAAAAAAGTCTGTGTGAAGCTCTCCTCCAAAATTAAAATATCAAGAAATTTATATATGCCTTGACTTTTGAATAATCATATTTCTCTTCAATCTGAGGTGCTCTTAAACAAGAGGAAATGAATTAAAAGTTAAGATTTAGATCTTAACTCCTCATTTTATCATTCCTACCAGATTTGAATTTCCTGTCAATCAAATGTTATAATTCAATTACAATTAAATACAAAAGTAAGTCTTGTTGGGCCTGTTTAGTCTAGAAAAGAGAAGACTGAGAGGGGATATCATCAATATATATAAATATCTCAAAGGCAGCTATCAAGACGATGGTGCCAGACTTTTTTCAGTGGTGCTCAGCAACAGGATGTAGAGTAATGGCCATAAACTAAAACACAAGTAGTTTCACCTCAACATGAGTAACAACTTATTATTGAGGGTGGCAGAGCACTGGAACAGGCTGCTCAGGGAGGTCGTGGAGTCTCCCTCCCTGGAGACATTCCACCTGGATACATTCCTGTGTCACCTTCTCTAGGTAACCCTTCTTTGGCAGAGGGGTTGGACTGGATGATCTCCAGAGGCCCCTTCCTACCCCAACTATTCTGTGATTCTGTGATGTGTTAACTCACCTGTAATAAGTGAAAACATTTAATAATGAAATAAAGATCCCCTTCCTGTCTGTGTTTTTATTCCTGTGGGGTTTCTTCTCTCTTGTGGCTAATTTCTTCATCTTCCTTTTCTGAATAAAAATTACAATAAGATGTCTTCAATTAGATATTTAAAGGACATCCTCCATATCTCTAAACCAGAGAGTTAAATGAACTCCTTAATGCAGACATTATGACAAAATAATTGAACTCTTCAATTTTTTTTCAAACAACTAGAAGGCCAGAGTTTGAATTAGGCATTTACAATGTGCAGTATTTCCTACACTGGCAGTAGAAACTAAAATAAAATGAGAAAAAGTAAAATATGAAATCTTTTTGAGGCAAATTTCTGTGCATCTGTTTTGTGAAAGAAGGGATAAATCTGTCAATTTAGATAAACAAATCTTTTGAGAACAAATTTGTTGAAGTAATCACATCCTGTAACATAAATACTGCTTTCAGTTTTAAGAGAAATAAACAGGGATAACAATTTTCATACTATGTTCTAAAGCTAAATTTTGCATAAACATTAACCCATTTTGCTTTCACACAACTATGTAAGAAAAAGACAAAATGCAACTTAAACTACTTACCACTTTTGTTCACCTTATTTTAGTTGACTTATATTTATTACTTTATGCCACAGTTTCTTTTATAAACCATTAGGGTTTAAAAGAGAGCTCATCAGGAATAAATGCCAAGAAGAAAAAAACAACACTATATTATTACTTGTCAAACTGATTTGCAAACAGTGTTCTGTATCCTCTCTTTCTGTTGTTATACACTGTGTCATGAATATTCAGTATTTCCAGCGTCCATGTAAAGTTCACTGAGTCATAGATCGATTAGACCAAATGGATTCCTGTTGGAAGAAAACAGTGTATCCCAATTTAGAAGCTTATTTGAGAGAATTTGAGATAACAACCTATCATCTTTTATTTTGAAATACAATAGTTAGTAGAGAAAGAAAAAAGAAGTAAAGTTAGGCTACAAAATTCTGATTTTTATTTTGGTTCAGGAGATATGTTCTATTGCATTTGTGTATTTACTTCCTTCTGGTTAAACACACAGACACACAGACACACGCACAGACTTCTTACAGAGTTATTCTATTTGATTCAGTCACAATTTATATCACTGAGGTTAATTCAATTATTTTCAGACATATTTCATGCCAGAAACAGGTGGATAATTCTTACTGGAGACAGAAGTTCCTGTACTGTTTTAGAAACAGTCTACTTTTATATTTTTGCAGTATCTATAATAACTGAAAGAATATCAGATATAGTTTAGTTACTAAAATAACATGCAGATCAGAATTTCTTGCACTGTTTTGGAAACCATCTGTTTTTATATATTTGGTGGTACCTAGAATTGTAGAATGGCTTTGGTTGGAAGGGACCTTAAATATCATCTAGTTCCAACCCCCCTGCCATGGGCAGAGATGTCACCCACTAGATCAGGTAGCTCGGAGTCCCATCCAACCTGGCCTTGTACATTACTAGGGATGGGACATGCACAACTTCTCTGAACAACCTGTTTCAGTGCCTCACCACCCTCACAGAAAAGAATTTTTTTCTAATATCTAATCTAAATCTACTCTCACTTTGAAGCCATCCATCCTGTGTTATAGGTTAGAAATCCAGGAGAATTTTTCTTCCCCCTGCCCCCACCGTAGGAAAGACGGAGTTTGAATGGAAAGGGAGGTGATTAGTGTTACAAAGGGTCTTGCCAGCCAAGCTGCATTCCTAACGAATGACCCATGGGAGGCTAGGGGGAGAGAGGAGGAGTTTTGGGAGGGAGTGGTTGGCTCTTCTCAGAGGGGAGAGATGAGACTGCGGAGTTCTCTCACTGGGACTGAGACAGGGTCTGTGTCTGGGTATTTTTGGAGAGGGGGCCTGGAAGCCTGTCTTTCTGGCTTTTCGTCCTGGTAAGGCCTGACCTCCGGCCTCGATCGGCTCGCGCGCTGCCTCATGACTCCAGCCAGGACCTACTGGGATTTTCATCAGAGAGTTGTGTGCTCGCTGGGAGAGAGGAACAGTCATCTGAGAGCAACAGTGAGTCCCGTGGGGGTGGACTGCTTTTCCTTCTGCCCTTCTTCCACTGGTGGAAGGGTCTCCGTTTTCTTTTCGGCTTCTCCCGCGATCCGAGACCACCCCCAGACCCCCTTCCCACGCGGTGACCGCCAGAGCCCGACAGCGCCCCCTGCCGACCACCGCTGTGCACTGCAGGCTCTGCACCTCCAGCGGCCCGACAGCGCCCCCTGCCGACCGCGATCGGAACTGCGCTAAACACAGAGAAATATTCAGACCTTTTTCTTTTGTTTAAAGGAGACTTTTGGCTACAAGACTGTTGTCTAGTTGTTTTTTTGTGTTCTGTTGCTGTTCTTGTCAACATATCTTTTAATAAAGGGTTGTTATTTCTTCTGTTTTTTTCCACACTTCCTCGATTGAAACCCCCCTTCATTTTGAATTTACAATTGCTGAAAGAGAGGAGTTTGTTTTGTCTCATGACTCATCCTCTTTAGCAAACATTCCAGTCTCTTCAAACTGAGACATCCTGTCACTACAGGTGTTTGTAAATAGTCTCTCTCCATCTTCCTTGTAGGTTCTCCTCAGACACTGGAAGGCAATACTAGTGACAATTAAGTCACCCCAAAGCTTTCTCTTTTCCAGACTGAAAAATCACAATTCTCTCAGCTTTTCCTCATTGGAAAGATGCTCCATCCCTTTAATTAACTTGATGACCTTCCTCTGGACTTGCTGAACAGCTCCTTCCTTTGCTTGTGACCCCATAGCTAGATGCAGTGTTTCAGGTGGGTTCTCAAGATGAGAGAGCAGAGTAGAGGAGCAGAATTTCTGCCCTCGAACTGTTGGACAAGCTGCTTTTGATGTGACTAGTTTTCTTGGTTGCAAGTGCACGTTGCTGGTTCATCCACCAGCACCCCCAAGTCCTCCTCATCAGGGCTGCTCTTGATCTGTTCATCCGCAGCCTGGATTGATACCAGGGGTTGCCCCAGCCTCAGGATGTTCATATGCACCCACTTCTCAAGCTTTTTCAGGTCCCTCTGGATGGTATCCTGTCCTTCAGGTGTGTCAACCACAGCACTCAGCTTGGTGTCATCTGCAAATTTGCTGAGGGTGCACTTCATCCCTTTATCTATGCCATTAATGAAGATATTAAATATCACTGGTACCAATGGGGGACATCACTTGTCACTGATGTCCATTGGGACTCTGAGCCTTTGACCACAATCCACTGGATATGACTGTCCAACTAATTTCTTATCTACCTAGAAGTTCACCCATCAAATCCCTCTCTCTCTAGTTTAGAGAGAAAGATGCTGTGGGGGACCATGTCAAAGGCTTTACACGAGTCCAAATAAATGACATATGTAAATTTTCTCTTGTCCACTGGCAGAGTCTCTCCATCAGAGAAGGCCACTGTGTTGGTCAGGCAGGACTTGCCCTTGGTGAAGCCATGCTGGCTGTCTTGAATCACCTCCCTGGTCTCCGTGTTCCTTAGCACAACTTCTAGGAGGATCTGTTCCATTAACTTCCCAGGTACAGAGATGAGGCTGACCTGAGGTAGTTTCCAGGGTCCTTCTTTCTACCCTTTCTAAGATGGGTTCAATGTTTCCCTTTTTCCAGTCACCTGAGATATTTAGGGATTAAGATTTCAGAGTTTTCACCTAAACAGGGGGAGTAAGGAACAGTTCCCCAGGTGTGGGCACCATGCTAGGAGCATGAAATTAAATTAATACACTGTCATATCAGCTTTTAAACAGCTCTGGTTTGCACTGAATTGTTTTCTTAGGATATTATACACAAAATATTTGCCATTAATATTTTGTTAATTTACCTATTCAATAGTTGTTTGGACAACAAACGGACTAGTATTGAAGAAAGCAAAACACAGTGTAAAAACCCTACATTCACTTAATCCTATAAACAATGTTAATTCAACAGTGATATTTATCTTTTATAATATAGGAAAAAATTACAAAGGCAGCATATTTGAGTGTATATAAATACTGCACATATCAACATATGTGCCCAATTAGCCACAGAACCAAGGGAAAAGACTTTCTTAAAATTTTTAAAGAAATTAGTCACTATCCTAAATAAATAATTGTAAGATATCAGTTTTCAGTTGCATTCGGATATCACAGTGACTGCAATGTTATACCCACTCCCCAAACTCACCTATACAGAGAATATCCTTAAACTTATGAAAAAGGAAAAGGAAGATATATCTCCATGCACAAAATATTCTAGAGGTTTATCTTTGAAATAGCTGACAATGACTGCTGTCAAATTAAATAAATGTTTAGACCACTTGGTACGGCAAATTCTTCACTACCAAAATAGCTATCTGTCAGAATAGCTATACTTCTTCATTTGATCCTTTGTATTAAAAATAATGAGTAAATTAGGGAGATAAATATAAACTTTCTAATGATGCAGCCTAGCATACAAACCATATAGTACACTCAGCCATCTAAGCAGATGTTGTCTATACAGTTCTTTGAGCACAGGCACACAGTGGAACTTGGATTCCTGTTTGGTTAGTGTTGTACTGCTGGGGTACAAATCTGTGCTCAGGCTCAAGAGCCTGGAGAAGCAGGAGTCCCCGTCGCTGCCCAGCCTGAGTGTAGCCTCAGATGCCCTTTATGATTTGTGATAATATCATGCAACTAACTCCAGGGAAACAAGCAAGCAAGGAGCGTCTTCTCAGAAAAGTTAGTAACTTGTGCATCAAGGAAAGGCTGCTGCAACAGAAAGGTAGCAAACAAAATGTACAGGGTATGTACAGACCATACTTATCAATGAACAACCCTTGGGAGCACCTGTGAAGAGTACACAGAAATAAACAGAACCAATGCAACCTGTAAGTGGTTTTACTAAAATCTTCACGAAGTAAATGCCAGTAGAATGTAAATTATAGAGAAATTATATAGAATGAATGTTCATAAGAGAATAAAATAATAACAAAAAAAAGATTTAACTTTTAATTTGTGTTTGTTGCCTTTTATCTGCAAATTCCACTGGAGAATATTTGCATGTTGTTATGTTTTCACTAGATACAATCATAGAGTAGTTTGGGTTGGAAGAAACTTTTAAAGGCCATTTAATCCAACCTCCCTACAGTGAGCAGGGACATATTCAACTAGATCAGGTTGCTCAGAGTCCCAAGCCACTTGACCTGGGTTGGGGCATCTACCACCTCTCAGGGCAACCTGTGCCAGTGCTTTACCATCATCATTGTAAAAAAAAAACCCGAAACTTCTTCCTTGTACGTAATCTAAACCAACCCTTCTTCAGTTTAAAACCCTTACCCCTCGCCCTATGGCAATAAGCCTGGCTAGGAAGTCTGTCCCTATCTTTCTTAGGCTCCCTTTAAGTACTGGCCACAATAAGGTCCTTCCAGAGTCTTCTCTTCTCCAAACAGAACAATTCCAATTCTTTCAGCCTTTCCTCGCAGGAGAGGTGTTCCAACCCTCTGACAATCTTTGGTGCCCTCCTCTGGACCCATTCAAACAGGTCCAAGTCTGTCCTGTGTTGGGGGCTCCAGACATTGCTGCTCTTGATGCAGCCCAGAACATGGTTGGCTTTCTGGGATGAAAGAACACGTTGCTGGGTCATGTCCAGCCTCTCATCCATCGTCATCCTCAAGTTCTCCTCAGGACTGTTTTCAATCTGTTCAGCCATTAGTCTGTGCAATGCCATACCAGGCATTGCCCCAACTCAGGTACATCACCTTGCTCTTGGCTTTGTTGAACCTCATGAGGTTCCCATGGGCCCACTTCTTGAGCTTGTCCAGGTCTCTCTGGGAGGCATCCTGACCTGCAGGCATATTCCTGTGCCGGTAACAGTTGATGCATCAGCTCATTGTCGCCAATGGGCTGTCATCTCTCACTAACTTTGAAGGACATCTCAGAAAGTCAACACACAATGAATCATCCCATATCAAACTCCAGTTCCAGCTATTACGAGACATGAGTCACATGTTAGCATACATTAACCAGGTTTTGTTGGTAGAATAAATTCTAGGAAAGGAGAATTGAAGATAAAAAAGAATAAGAAAATAAATAAGTTTTTCTTTGAGTTATACTTCTCTTTGAATTAAGTCTCTTCTAAAAGTCTGTCAGGTACTGCAGGCCTTCAGGTTTTCATTCTCTATAATGCTGTGGGGTATTTCTGCCCACACAACTACAGCTGCTGAATTGAAGGTGGCTGCATCTCCCACCATGCCATTGCGATGCTTAGTCTGCTGAAAAAGTCAATCCATTTGTTAGTTTGGTTTAATCTTCAGATCTGAAGTGTTGAATCTTTAAGATTCAGATTTCATTTTGTAAAGACTAATTCTCTGATCTTTCTTTTGAAGAGCTGAACATTTCAAGCTGAGTTGCAGGAAACTGAGACAACACTTCCTTCCAGAGCCTGGAAGAAAAGAAAATCAAATTGTACACATATTCTTTTTTCAGAAATAGGCAGTACTGCTACTAAAGGCAGTAACAATTGCTAGAGGCAATTCTGATAATTTCACCCAGGGAGCTTTTTTCCAAGTACTTTTTACAGTATGACCTACAAAACATAGCTTGGTATTGGAAAAGATGGCAAGGACACAGATTTTTCAAGGGTACTTGCAGCACAGTCTATATTAAACTTGCTGCTTCCCATTTGCTTTCATGTTTATAATCAAATTTGAAGTGTTTTCATTGCTTCCAGTAGTTTAGTCTTTAATATAATTAGATGTAGTAGTTAAGCTCTTTGATATTATATAATGCAGCAGTTTTTCTTTAAGCAATATCTTTATGCGGGCAAAACAAATTCAGATTTTATCCAAACAAGCAGAATTCCCACAAGACAATCCAAGTTATACTCAAATTAGAGATATGCTAGAGGCAAATTGATACTGTCCTTCATTAAAGTCTTTTTGTGGTTTTAGATGCTTGGCATAAGCAGTAGTTGTAATATAAAGCACATAACCTGAGGTGTTAGATACATATGTCTGGATTGTCTCCATATGAATTAAAGTCCACGTAGCTGAACAACAATTTTCCTGATACATGTTTTCCTACCCAATGG